TATACAATATACTAGTATACTAAGGATGATTATAGTTCTTAAATAGGGTTTTACAAAATGTAAAATAAGTAGATTTAATCTTGAATCTTTAGTATTAATATTGTAGGTAGGTACTCTGTACTCTGTAATTTTAACAAAATTTAACGATGATCACGCTGGGTGCATCGCCCTGTATACATAGCTGTTTAGATAAAATAAAACTGTATAATATTATATTATTAACAATAGTGTTTATATAATTTATAACAATTGACCGAAATTACAATTCGTAAAGGAAGTATACATTTTTCAAATAAATCCTAGTTCGACACGTTTGCAAATTGGCTGAATCGAAAGGTTATTTGTCTTATTAAAAAGGGGTCAGCTGAATCGATAGGTGGTTGCCTTAATAAAAAAGAGTGTGTCGGAATCGAAGAAATCCCATATTTTTGTATTAATACAAGCGAATGTTTGGATTTGCTTCTATATATTTTATTGAGTTTATGTTCTTGTAACTCAAATTCATCAAAACATTTTCTACCTTTTAGTCTTAAAATTGATAAATCTTAGTACCTATATAAATGACAAAATATGTTGTGTTTGATACTTCCAAGTAAATACATTAAAAATCGATTGATACTTACGTCACCAAATAACAAGACAAATCGATTACTATAATGACAGAAAATGTGAGGTTTCCGCTTAATGTCCCATCACCATATAATATTATCATCTAAATAATAAGTACAACGCGTGAGACCGGTTTGTATGGAGGGTCGAAAATCAGATAATTTGAGGCATTGAATTTTCCTCATAATTGTTGGTTAATTTAACAGTATACAAGAATAAAATACTACTAGGTATGTATAGGTCTATACCTAATATAAATGCGCAAATCAAAATCAATTACTAAATGTAGAGTGCTAAATACGGCTAAATACTAAAAAAAATAAGAATAATAAGATAGTCGCGGGTAAGGCGAGAGGATTAACTATTAATATATCGGTTCAGAAAACTAATTATATTGTTTTTTTTAATTTAAAACTGTGAGCTAGTGTAGTTGAATGTTATAGTACATAGTTATACCTTTCACAACCTGGTACACAGGGAAATAAGCTGATTACAAATAAATCTCAATAATATGTAGTTACCTATGATCTTTATGTTTATATTTCTTTAATTAATATTGTCTATAAAATATTTATAAAATAATATAGGTACTATCTTTAATGCTATCTTAGTTATTATAATAACTAGAATTTAATTGGGTTTCAAGTAGACGTCACATTAATCGATTTGTATAGTGTAGGTACTAGGTACAGGAAGTATGAACTGTTATTTATTGTTATTTGTTAATGTACCAAAGTAGACATTTTAGTTACCTATAGATGTGATCGCTCGTAAGTATATAGTCAATTTTATTTTATTAGTCTCATTTTATTTATTTATAACGTACTTGTCTCTAAATGCATTATACATTTATACTGATAGTGACATTTATGTTTAAAATTTAAGTATTAAAACCAAATATTCAGTTTACACAATAAAAGTTTAAAAAGCTTTTTTGATTGTTAAGATCTAAAAAACTGTGTTACGAACTATATACTTACGTATACGGTATACTTAACTTTATTGTCATCAGTGTTATTATTTTTTCTCATAATATATGATACCTAGGTTGAATTGTTGGAATAATTTTTTAAACATTTTAATTACCTAATAGGGTATAACGTATTCTTCAAAGTGGGTTATTAAATTAATTAAAATATGCACACTTTTCCACATGGTAGTGAATTGAACTTTATGTACATAATATTATATACATTAATTTTTTTACATGGGACATGGGCTATAAGTTTTGAGAGTATTCATTAAAATTTTTCAAGTGGTGAGCTAAAAGCTGTTCCTGAATAATAACAAGAGGCATAATGTTATAATTTACATTATGACTCGTAAGTCGTAAGTCTAACCATCAACGGCTTAAAGCTTATAATGAAATTCGTTATTGCAATTCAAAATAATTATAGGTTTTAAGCACGATATTTAAAAAGTTTTTTAAATGTCATTCTGAGATATATCCTTAACGAGCGTTGGCCGTTAGAGCCATCACAAGTACCTAGGTATAGTTAAACATATTAGATCGGTATAAGAGACACGATATAAGAGCTTAAACGTTAAAACTGCAAAACTACAAAAAGTTTCGTCAGCGTAATTGCCTAATCACACTACGTTTAAAAGAATAATTTTAATGATCTACATACCTATGTCTACATATATCTGACCAGTGCCTAATGGCTGTCGCATAAAAAATAATTATTCTGTAAAATTAAGATACAAACATGAAATACCTACCATGTGGTTACCACCTGTTGGACTAATCAATAATCGGCATTTGTCCCTTTAAACTTGAAAGCAATCAAGGTGAATTATTGTTTCAACATTGATTTGTAGAGAATTTGATTTGTGTACAATATTGTTTAAATCATATTATAGTATCTTTGTAGTATTGAGTTTTATCCTTTTATTTTTTTTGTTTTCGATATTATTCACTACACATTTTTTTACTTATGCCATATGACGTATTCATATAATGTAGATAATGTATAATAGTTCGTCTTATTAATTTGAATAAAACATTAAAAAAATAAAAAAATAAAATATGGGCATGAATTAATATAAAATCTGTTTAAAATCGTACAAAAGTGCAACTCTGTTTGATATATACCGATATAATAATATAATATGATTAGTAATTTATGGATACGGATTATATTTTTGTTTCGTGTAATTTTATCACGTTATTACTGTTCGGTTTTCATTGAAACAACCCACGGGCGTTATAATAATATGTTCAATAAAATATTTGGTTCTATATAATTTTATCGTTAAGGTAGTTGTACCTATAACATCTACGCGTAACATATTATTATTGATTAGGTACATTCACCAATTACATAGAATTAGCTTAATTTTACTATTTTTTAGTAGTTTAGTTTATTAATAATTATTTAAAGATTTAACTGATATAAGTGTAACCCATAATTTAATACATAATACATAGTGAATAACCTACATGGAATTTTGAAAATAAATCTAATTAATAATAGATTAATTTGGCACCGATTTGCTTTACCATCATGGAAACATTTGATTATCGAATAAACAAAGAAATATTAGCGTAATCATTAAAATATGTAAACAATGAAATTGGTTTTCTATGAATATATTATTTTCAACTGCGACGTGTATTATACATTTATACCTTTCATACAACTACGGTTTTCGGTCTGAATATATAAGACATTATGTAATAAAACCCTACTTATCGAACAGCTAGAAATATTGCATTAGTTTGGTGTTAGTTACACTTTTATTTTCCCTGTCTATTAAAAGTTGCAGGTATAATATTATATTTACAATTTAAAACCTATCAAAAGTCAAAACTGTAGGTATGTAAATAATTAGTAAGTATCTAGGTAGGTAGGTAGGTTTTTAATCGGTGAGTTGGTGAATACTGAAAAATGTCATAAGCATTATGATTTAATTTATTATTATATACATCAATATAAAATTTTACATTAACTTTAGATGCGTTACTTGCGTTGTACGTACCTACCTACTGTAAACAATATAAAACAAAGAATAATTAAACAAATTACTGTTATGTATACGAGTAGTTAAACTTGTGGCAAAACAACGAGTATTATAAGATTGTTTTGATTATAATAATTTTCAGTGAACTTTTCGTGTGAGTAAAAATACAATATTAGGGGTGGTTCCTAGGTAAATTTAAATTATATTTTAGAAACATGATATTGTATTGTTGATTATAAATTAATAAATTATTGAATAATGAATATGTTGGAATAGCATTATCAAATTTAATATAATTATTCTAATCGAATAAGAATGGACTTCAATCTCAAGTGCAAAGATAATGATCAATACGTCAATAACTATAATTGAAAAAAACTTTTTTGATTAAATAATTAGGTTAATTGTAACGATATAAAACTATTGCGTGTGGTGTAGGTGTGATTGAATTATTTATGTTAAAAGTGTTTAAAGAAGAACAATTGATTTACAACTTTAAACAGAGACGTCTTGTCGATGTGTCAAATTCGGGACATGGTGATTTTTATAATATAAATATCTACTCGAATGAGTAATTAGTAACACACTTATACTTGATTTTACCCATATCGTATTCGTATATAATATGATAGACAACTAATAATCAGTAGCCACCGTTTTCGTAACGTAATATTAATAATTGTACATGCTAATTTTAAAACCAACTTATACAAAAAAGAATTATATTAAGAGCGTTAGGAACATAATATGTATTAAGTATAAACTATAAATATGTAGAATGCATACCAAGTTAGATAAATAAAATCCTATGGATATTGGATAGATCAGTAAGTTTTTCTCACTTAGATATTCAATAATAATGATGTGTTTATGAGCGTACGAATTAAAAGTGTTTGCACATAATATCATAAACAGAAAATGTGTAAAAGCGTTTTTATTAAAGATAGTGTTTACGATAAATTGAGTATCCTTGTTTTTTTTTCTATCTAGGTCATAAAAACTATTTTTCTGTTTAACTGGAACGAGCTCAAACCATGGTCATGCTATACAGACGCTGCTGTCACTGGCTGCAGTGCCCTTTAATAGCGACTAATATTATATATATTACCAGTGCCGCCCTTGAACTTTAGGTGTAACCTAAACGGTATTAACGACTTTTGGTGCTGTGACAAGTTTAATAATACGATGATGATTAATAATAAACACACCGCCGGAAAGCGGTGTAGCGTGTGATGTATCTATACGACAGGTATATTAATCCTAATATAAGTTTTGTAATATATTTTAGGCACACTATAATATTATAATATTATTATGATATGTACCTAACTACCTACTTGTACAGCGAATAACGTCATATAATGTCATAAATAACTTGTATAAACGAGGGAAACTTAATTACTATTATTATTATTTCTGTTATTTACTATTCCGTAGACGCCGCTGATGATGGCTCCGGTCTTGAGCGGGAAACCCAAAAACGACGTGGTCAACGGGAACTTTCGACCCATCTCGGAGCCTAAGTTTACCGTGAAAAACTTAGGTGGAATACAACGGCACTCGTTGCACGTCTATCGGAAGTTTTTTAATCGACTTGCACTGCACCGGCGTGACTGCAGCACACGGCCGCGGAGATAAAAATATTCGACTATAAGATTTTTATATTAAATTTTTTACCACCAACGGTGTTTATGGAATTTGTTGTATTATTATTATTGTTATTATTGTTATAGTATTTTTACCACACGACTTGTGAACACCGTGTGCACACGCGACAAGCTCGCCGGCCGCTCGAAACACAACTGCACACTATATTATACGAGTGAGTAGGTATACGACACTCCACCGCCACCGCCACAGTGCACCGCTGGTTATGCCACCACGGACCTTGTAGCGAGTGGCCCATAAATAGACTTGACCGTTGGCGAAAAAACGCGCTCGCCGCCCGGACCTACCTCTCCGGACATCGTTTACACTCTAATAACAATACAATATGATAAAATATAATAACAACAACATCACCACGAGGCGATGATAACGCTTAGGTATTATAGTGTGCTATGGTCGGAATCTGTACGTTTTACTCTTTAATGATAAAAAAACGTTTTCACAATAGACCTTATTTGCACGTTTAATCAAAATATTATGATCTGGAAACCCTCTCCCTCCCCACCCGGCAGAAAAATAAGTCACGAGACCGACGGTAACTCGTTTGATGGAAAGTACAGGTACACCCAAGTACTCGAGTATCCGATTAGCTGCCCATCAGCCAGCGTTTCAACTTTCAGAGATGTATGAAAGTGAACTCACGCTTCACTTATAATAACGTGCCAATCGATTTTAATAGACGCATAATATTATTTTGTATATTCTTATTTATAATTTTTAGCTACCTGTATTATGTGAATAGTATGCAATAATTAATAATATAATTACGAGCCCGCTCGGAACTGCAGAGTTCTAGAAACTGGTACTTCTTTACGTACCGATCGGGATTTAAAATAATAGGTATACCGAGATCGTGGTTGCGGTAAAACCGGTAGTGTTGAGGCGAAATCGGGACCAATGATGGCAAGTATGAGCGTGAAGTCTGTCGTTCCCATACAGCATAATTATATTATGTATGGGAATTTACCGATTGCGCTCAAAATGACTTTTTCACATACCAATAATAACATTTCGCTTAAAACATTATTTAAGGTCGAGTTGCCCACTGTCTGCATTTTCAGGGTTGATATAGAACAATATTGTGCTAAATAGAATATTGGTTGGTCATTTAAATTTAAAATATATAAAAATAATATTTATTGTATTCAGTACAACCAGTCACCAGAGCCCTTAAAATCGTGAGTAGACGATAAATCGGGTCCAAGATAGTAGGTATAGTAACAAAGACGGTCGCCGGATAACCACTAGCTGCGTTCAATTCACGAGTTAAATATTTATTATACGCTATTGTAGTAGGCAGTAGGTATATAATATACTAATAAATAGATATAAATATTAATACATAAAATAAGTCTTAGTAAATAATATGGTTCGCAAGGCCGACACCGAGGTTCTGCGGTACCAGATGATATTCAACCGAATCGGTCTTTTTAAGTTTATAATTTTAGAATATTTTAATTTACTAGGTAGGTAGTATATAGGTACATAGTTTATGTATAGATAATGTATGATAATACAATGTTGATGGGAATCAGATTGGACAAGAAAATATTTTTTGTACTTTAAGGTAAGACTTAAAAGTACCTAAGTGCAAATTTATTCATTTCTGTGCAATTGGTATATTATTATACTAACTATAAAAATATAAAAAGCGCCATAATTGGTACACCACTGATCCTAAAATACAAATTTTGTGTTAGGCACGACTGGTCCATGCCCTTATATTGAATATGTATAATATATGTATGGTATATACTATATAGATATATACCACCACACTGTTATACGCCGACGTATGGTCATTGTACCTAACGATACCTATACGTGGGCTGTGAAAACCTTGAGAGAAAAACATCCACACACACACACACACACACAGCGGTATAGGTCCTCTTCTCCACCGACGTCACTGCCACACCCACCCCCGCTTTCAAAGCAGTCTTCGTAAACATCACGCTAGCGTACCTCCATATAATAATATGTAATACGCGTCTAATATTATATTATTATTATTATTTCTTCTCATCTCCCTCTCTCTCTCTCCGCGTTGTTCGCGACCATAGTTAAAAACTCGTTCTCCGACGGATATTTTTTTTTACCTCGCAACATATAGGTAAGGTATAATGTATCGTCATAATATCGCGCGTATAGCCTCAATCGCTGCGATCCGGACAGTCCCGCCACTCCTCAGGACAGCCAAGATCGTCCCCGTGGGCTTTCCAGATCGGACGGTGGTGGCACACGAGATCAATGTCAAACGGCGCCGCCGCCGGCGGGATTAATGTTTTGTCGCAACGAGCGTGCACGACTGCTGTTTATAATAAGCTGCAATAAAATTATATTATTAATCTATCGGCGGAGGCGCCGTAGTCGGTTATAAGTATTTTTCCAATTCCTTCGTTCTTAATATTCGGAAAGTGGTAAAATAAAATTTAAATCATCCAGACGATCTATATATTTAACTCTAGAGACACGCTAATAATATTTTAAGTCGTTTAAAAACAACATTTTTCTAAAAAATTTTTTTTTAAATTTTTTAATGACAACATCCATTTTCAATTCCTTACGCCAAAGTAGAATATTTTTGGTGTAGGTACTTCGATACATGTTTATGAGTTATACGCGTGTTTAGTGAAGTGTTATTACTTTGATCGTTTAAACTTTAGATAGGTACTGAAAAATAATAATAATTACTTGTCCGAAATTTGATTTTTATAGATCAAAATCTCCAAATAATAGTCTGCTTGAGAATATGAAATTAAAAAGATATGTTCTCAACTTCTCATTCAAAAAAGTAAGAAATATAAATAATAATAACAATACAAAATAGCAATAGAAATATAAGTTTTTCTAAAAATTTTATTTTTTAACGACTTAAAAGTTAAAACTATTTAAAAAAAACTATTTAAAAGTTAGTTTTTATGAAATAATGAGTATCTTATAGATCACTATATACATAAAGAGTATACAGCTATACATTTATAGGGAGCAACACTATAATTATTGTTGTACCGAACACGTCATGTCACTCTGGGTATCATATTATTATAATATAATATTTATACAAGTATATAGTGTCATAGTGTTGCCAGTTGTATCGGGTTGTCGACGGTGCAGTTTATGTTGCAATTTTAGTATAGAACACCATAATATTATATATTTTGTAGCAAGTATTATTCTCGTTGTATCGTGTGCTCGTCACTGCGGAAAACGATACTCCTCAGAAAGGCCGTAGGAAAGAGCCGTGGTAGTCATAATATTATATTATAGGTACCTCACGAATGTTGTGGTTGGGTTTTAATGGCGATTCGGACGAATTTGATATCGGTGGGAATAATCGGATGTCGAGTATAATATTGTATTAATGTGGTACAGCTGGTATATGAGGTATTGGAAGCGCCGCATTTATAGGGGGGGCGCTGCGTAAAACTGCCGCGGGCGCCAGTATTTTAGAGGCGCCAAAGTTTTGTTGTCAGAAGTTTGTTTACTTGGGAATTATTAAAATTTTATTATTTTAATTATTTTAATAACAGTATTATATAATATTTAGTATAATATAGTATTATGATGTTTGAAATTTTTTTAATTAATATTAATGTGCATAGTTATATATAATTAAATTTTATTTATTCATGAAGTACCTACTTAAATATGTTAAATCAAAAACAACTTTTATGATGAATTATAAGCAAGATTTAAGTGACATAAATTCAAATGTGTCTTTGCGGAGAGAAGATCAAGCAATATTCCTAACAAATTTTTAAAAAAAGCACTCATTATTGTAAAACAAATATTCTTTTGTGTGCTCAAAATCTAAAAGGTTAATGAGGATCTATCTCCCATATTTTCCGTGGATAGGCCCCTTATTAGGGGGTCCAATTTTTTTTTGCACCGAGGCGCTAAATGAGGCACTGGGTACTGGTACATGTAACTGCAGTCGAGTCGAAACAGGGCCGTATTTGAACATTTTGCGCCCCGGGGAAACAAATTTTTATAGTTTATACTCATATTATAAAAATAAATTATAAACTGAAAAAATGTAACTGTTATTTATTTTAATTGCATTTTTTCTGATCTTAATTTTATTAATAATCAAGACATAGGTATTACGTAAAAGTAAAATAAACATTATTATTAATATGTTGTGTTTTACTTATTTACAACAACACTAGCTACGGGCTGCTATCATACCGAAATCAGTTATCCAAGGAATTATTATTGTTAGGATAAAAATAGATTTGAGAGAATATCATCCTAAAATAAACTTAAGAGGAATCTCCACCAAATTATAACGAATAAGGAAAAGAACATTTAACATAATTTTAAAGTTATAACTATGTTCGCTCAATAATAAAAAAAAGTTCATAAAAATTTACCGCCTCATAAATTCCACCAGGAGGGGCAATGGCCCACCCTGGCCCTTTCCTAAATACGTACCTGAGTCACAACAACTCTTGTAGTTAAAGGGGGATAAAAATTCGCTTCAAGATAATATGTATTCTTAGAGTTAACCAACTCGAATTCATCAAAATTAGGTAAAAACGTTGATCAATATAACTATATAAAATTTTAAAATCATTATATACCCATAGGCGCAATTTCAACTTTTGACTTGGGGGGGGGGGGCTGAATATATTATAGCCTATAGGCAAGTAGACCATTGCAATGTACCATTTTAAAATTGTATGTCCTAGGTTTTTGGGGCTAAGCCCCCCAAGCCCCCTCCTCCCAATTTGCGCCTATGTATATACCTATTAAATACGTGTGTGTTAATAACGCAAAAATATGCAATGCAATTGCATTATAAAAGAATTATGATAAACACGTTATGATAAATTTTTTT